CCCCCAGCCGACTTTCCCTCGTTTTCTTTTTTTTTTCCCGCTTACAGTAGCCTGTCATTGTCAACACACGTCATACACCAGGGGCACAGTAGTATGAGACACTCCGCTTACAGTAGCCTGTCATTGTCAACACACGTCATACACCAGGGGCACAGTAGTATGAGACACTATCTCCCTCTCCTCCTGGCATGATACCAACTGAGCTAACGGAACACCCGTTATCATCTGACTAAACGTCTCCAACTCAACTTTTTTTAAACTTCAGAATTTTGTAAAACAACCGTTCCGTTGCTTCAGCTGGAATCTGCTAATGTAGGGGTTTTAAGCTTGAGTTATCTCGGAAGTTTTCGTGGCGTTCTTTTCACCAGACCTTGTACTATCAGAAATGGACGTTACTATAGACAACATTGTATGTCCCTCTTCAACAAAAAATTATCATAGGATGATAAAAAAAAAAGAAGAAGCGTTATATTCCCCCGTAATAAGAGAAAGATTACGCACAACGGTTTGAGTGCGTTCCTAACGAAAGAATGATGCACGAGAGGGTAGATCTAGAAACAGAATGGTGAGGGAACGAACAGCTACCTTCCTTCTAGTTTATGCCAGCTGTTAGGCCAGGAGTATAATATATGAGGCATCGTGGTGAAATCAGGCGCTTGTCAAATTAATGTTATTGAGGAAACTGGCATTTTCTGCCAGTCGCAATTTTTATCAAATTTTTGTTTTTTTGGCTTAACACCACTGTTGTCAAATTAAGAACACAATTCTGTGTGGATTTTTTAAAACTGAAAAACGTTTATTAAAGGCACAGATAATGTAAGTTTTCAGTTTCAACGGACAATCAAGCTGTGAAAATAGTCAAACTTTGGCGGCTATTTTCTCGCTAATTTTACCTTTGAAACCAGGCGACCCCCACCTTCTTCAACCTCAAATATCTCGACTTCTATTCAAGAGAGAGAGATTTTTTCACCCATAGCAAGACAAACGAACAAGCTTTAAGAAGATGCCAATAACTTCACATGCCTCAAATTTGACGAGTGGGGGCTCTCGTGGCCTAGAGGTTAAGGTGTTGGCCTCTCATTCAAAAGGTCCCGGGTTTGAATTCGGGAAAAATTTTCTTCTCTAAATTTGTCTCCTCTCACCTCCTTTCCTGCTCTCTAGCAATGTTCTGTCGTCTGCTTTCGTCTCCTCTTTCTGCCTCCACATCCTTTGCCCCTTCCTCTGAGCTCCTGGTTCTTTCTGCAGCCTTTCTGTCTACTGCTACTCCTTCGCTTCTTCTTACTGCTGTCTTTCACACTTTCAGCCGCACCCCTGATCTTCTGGTAGGAAAGATCTACACCTAGCCTTCTCGGACAAGGGCGAAAAATCTCGAAGGGCCCGTGTGCAAGTTGCGCTCGTTAAAGATCCCTTGGTGGTCTAAAATTGATAACAGTAGGCTTCGGCCGCCACCCGGGCAAAATTCAAAATTTCCTACCAACTGTAAATATTAGGTGTGTCC